TCACCGATCAGCCGGATATCGGAAATATTGGCAGTGTAACGGTTACCTGCCTGCTATTTCTGTTCTCCTGTTCAGCCGAATCGGAACCTATTTCGAACGTGATCGGCCCTAAGGCCATTGATCTATCGGGCCCAAGTATCGGTATCTCCCTCTGCCTCCTGTGCCTCCTCTCTATCGTATCGAACAGAGTTGCCGATCAGTATGTCTATCTGTCTATCTATCTCTCTCGCACTCGTTGCATACTAGCTGAGGAATCGCAGGAGTGTAGTGGGGTGGAATGCAGTTTCCATGTTTGTGGAGAAATACGCCATCCATCAAGTAGTCTAACTTCGTATTTACATGAAGGTTCTGTGTAGAGAGTTTCTCATCTAGAATCGATTAACAAATCATACTAACAATAATAATAAATTGCCTTTATTCGATTCTTTATCACTATATTTATATCCAACATACTTAGATGAGTCACTAAAATTTTGAGAATCTAATCGGTGAAGCGTTACCATGATGGTATTTTCCAACTCAACCGTACATCCTGATATTTAGATAATATGAAATTAACCTTTTTAAACGACTCAAAAACGAATATGATCAGCGATCTATATATGTATACACTTGCATGTTTTTAGTGAAAGTAGATTCAGATATGTTATGTGGCCTATTTATGTCAAAACTGTCAAGGTTGGGTGACAGAGTGGGGAGGGAGTGCTTATGTACTGCTGCTAACCACGATATCAGCTTCTTTTTAAAATTAGTCGTATAATTTCCAAATTCAAGTGTAAGATTGTTGTATAACTTGGCAGCAGTATAATAGAAACTCTTTTTGTAGAGAGACGTAAAGTGTTTAGGTATAACTAATAATTGTCGATTTCTGGCAGCCAAGTTATTGATATAAAATTTCATGAACCAAACATAAACTTTTCTGAGATTCTTTATGTTCATTTTGTAGACATGGCTATATACTCTATTAAAGTTATATAAAATTAATCCATGTTAAATAAAAATAATTTTTCAATTCTTCATTAATAAATTAAAAATGCTTTCAACGTACAAATTCTCAGCACGATAGTGCCTCCGGAAAAAGCTTCTCTTGATTCCTTCCATAAATAATAGTTATGAAGATGTAAAAGTACAAATATCCAAAAAATAGTAAAGCTTGAATAAGTCAAATTTGCAGTTTTCTTCACATACAGTTGGACTATCTTTGTGCAAAAACGGTAATAATAATTTATGCAGTCTGTCTTGTTAATGGAGTAATTTCCTGGATACTATATTACATTTTTATCAGTAAGGTATGTAAGTATGGTGGGGGAGGGCGATCGATGAACCTGGGCTCCCACGAACGGTACAAAATGCTTTCGTGAGGAAGGAGTTCAAAAATATTGTGAAGATTGTGAATAGACCTGAACTAAGGGTTATTAATTCATCCCGAAATTGCAGTATGTAATTCACATGTTTACAAATTGGAAATTGGGCTGCTTTGGAGCTGGAGGGTACCAGGTATTTATTGGAGCTTCAGATGTAGAGTTCTAGATCCAAAACATGAATTTCAGCTACGCACCGACATTGTCATTTTTGATTTGTGTGACAAGTTTTATACAGGGTGTGAAGTTAGTAGTGGATCAACGGAAGTCAGGTGATAGAGGGCCTCAAAACCTATCGAATGAACCCCAATATGTATGGTCCAAAACTTTATAATTCATATAAAAAACGAGATGAGCTAAATGGTGAGTTTTAGAAATGGTTATGTCACTTTTTAGCAGAGCTGATTAGAAATGAACGCAAAAAATCTTAAATTCATTTTTTTGTGAAAAATCTCTTCCATCCCTCAACTGTGGAGGCTGGCAAAAAAAATTGAGGTTGTATTTTATTATTCATGTTATTGTAAAAACTATTTCAATCCATGTAGAATAAACCCTGAAAATTCCAGCTTGCTACGTTGAGTGTATCATGACACATTCGTTGTTGTGATGCGATAAACGTAAGAAATGCAATAGAATCCTTATCACCTACAAGTGCAGAACCTATTGTGGCGATTTGCGGACAAATGTGGGAGATAATTTAGTTTAAGTAACTTTTAAAGAACACGTTCGAAATGGCCTCCATTATTTTCTATTTTCACCTGACTTCGGTTGATCCACTATTAACTTTACACCCTGTATATGATTTCTTATTGTGCAAAATATATGAAAAAAAAACGTTACTTTTCTTCTGAACAACAGAAAAGTCTGGCGATTTTCCTAGTCGATGCATGGTCATTTTTTGTGAAATATTTTTTGGATCACATCGGTCCAAAATTCAAAAATACTGAAAATACACCGAAAGAGTTTTTCCCGCTACAAAAGTAAAATTTCACGTATTTTTTTCGGAAAAGCATTTTTTTCGGAAGGTTGAAAACGTGAACCCTGGCAAAGCGAAAGCCCCGGGCAAAGTGAATTTCCCATTTTTGCATCCAAACCATGAATCGACCACCGCCAAAAAGTACATAGGCACATTTCTCCAACATTCATCAATAAGTAGCAATCAGCTATACGAGAAATCATATCTTTTATTTTTTTGCTTTTAGACAACAAAATCTGTTTTGTCAAAAAAGAGTATTTATGTAATGCAGGCGTAGTGCTTATACAGGGTGATCAACATATAACTGAATGTTTTAAATTGCGCGCCATTTTTGATACACGCGTTTCAGTAGGTGGCGCCGTAGTACTCGTAGTTGTTTAAAGCACATGTGTCCAATTCATCATGGAGCGCTACACGACCCCACAATGCGTCCGTATTGTTAAAACGTTTTATTAAAGTAATGAGTCGATTGTTGCAACGATTCAGAAGCTTCGACAATATTTCGGTCGATATAATGTGCCCAGTGTCAACACCATTCGTCAGTTGGTGCGAAAATTTGAACAAACAGGTGAAATTAAAGACTTGCTAAGGTTATGCCGTGTTCGAACTGTTCGTACTACGGCAAATATCGAGAGAGTTCGTGAAAGTGTAGTGGAGCGCCTTGAGACGTCTACCAGAAATCGTTCTCAAGAACTAGGTATTCGTCGCACCTCATTATGCACTAATTATTTTAAAAAAGACTATCATTTGCGGCCATACAAAATTCAGTTAATCCAAGAACTAGAGCCTAGTGACCATTAAAGTCGCGCCGATAATACCTACCGTAATATTGCAGCTTAATACCCAAATTAACTATTTTTACCGACAACTGATAACGAGCGATGAAGCCCACTTCGATATGAACGGATTTGTTAATAAGCAGAATTTTCATATCTGGGCATTAGAGAACCCTCGTGTCATCCAGCAACAACTACTACATCCTCGGGTCACACTTTGGTGCGGTGTTTGGTATGGAGGTGTCATTGGACCTTACTTCTTTGAAGACGCTGCAGGTAATTCCCTTACTGTCACTGGCCACCAAGGTCTCCGGATTTAACGGCTCCTGATTTTTGAAAAATAAGAATTATGCCAATAAACCAAATACTGTAGGAGGCGATTGAAAATATTTCTCCCGAAACCTACCAAAAAGTGATGGGAAATGTAATCAACATAATACATAATTTCTAAGTTTCAGTAAAAGATTAAGATAAAAAAAATGGACGTATTTTATTTCATTTCACAAATATTCAAGATACAAACCAGTCAGTTACATATCGGCTACCCTGTAGTTCCTATTTTAGAGTATCTGCATAAACGGCCTTTGCAAATACCTACCGGATTTTAATGGACTTTCTCTGTTATACAAATAAGGGTCAAATCATGCATTTTGATAGAAAACAAGAAAATTCTTTAAACAAATGAATGACTTCGAGCAAAGTGGATGGAACAAAGTGGTGACTGTTTTTGCAACTATAGTAATGTTTGTTGTAAGTAAATTTAAAATTGCAATTTTGATATTATATCCATGAAAAGACCATGAATAGACTGCTAATTAAGAATCCTGGTCAGAAAACAACGAATTAATAAGAACAAGCACCGTAAAGTATCCTATCGATAGTGTCAAAGAGGGTCATCAGAATTTGGAATCGTTAATGGTTGTTACGTTTGATATAAAGGGAAAATCAAATTTGTCTGACGTTTGTGTTGTGTATGAGAAGGAAGCGCGATAAGCGTGTATCAAAACGTGTTAGAAAGAAATATAAGTCGGCTGTAGAGATGTCATCACCACATTGCCTAGGAATGGTGACGCAGAAAGTCGAGCAGTCTGCCAGGCTTCTACAATGGATTAAGTTACTGTCAATCACAAGAAGGAGCTACGTTTAATTAGATATTTTGTTTTCGTTTTGATTAGACTCAAAAATGTGTGCCCTCAAAATAAAACCATTATTGGGCGTATTGAATAAACTAACGCATATTTTCAACATGCATCTTAATTCAAGGAATTGGTCTTACATATTGGCAACGCCGTAATGAGCTTCGCTATCCAGTCGGTTTCTATCTCTTTCTAACATATGTGTCTAAACACACTTCTCTCTCGTACACATTGAACTCAGGCCGTCAGACAAATTTGGTTCTCAGTGTATATAATATCTTTATATGAAATTCAGTTCCTAACCATTTGTGATCATGTATTGGCTTTATCCCTGCGATCATTTGCATCTTTTAGCTTTTTGATATCCGTTTTCTTGATAGTCACAACCCTAAGAATAATTGCGTTTTTTGAACACGGATAACAAAGCATCATTTCATATATTATTATCCTTATGTCTATATTTATTGACCCTAGACATGTCATTCTATTCAAATACGCAATTTTTTGCCCTGCAAATATTTGCATTTCTTGGTGGATCCTGACTAAATTCGAATCCTGAAAGGTCCCAAAAACGCGTTTCAATTACAATACAAATTGACATTTTGACTAGAACACTTATCCCAATACAGTGGATGTATGTGGACTGTTTTGAATCAATAAGCTATTCTTCATTAAAAATGAGGACAACCAAAATATGGTATCCATCTTTTCAGCAAAGATCAATCCATTCGAATAAAAATTGATAGGGAGAAAAGTGGAGGATAAATTTGTATATTACAATCTCTGACATAAAATTATTTGTACAACTCTCACTTAGAATACTTAAGATGGTCTCCAGTTAGGGTTGGCGTGGATAAGGATTTTCACTGGATTTCCTTTCTGTGTCTTGGCGGTTTCGAAGGCCTGGAGAGTTTCTTCAAGTCTGTAATGATGGGTAATCAATGGCTTCACATTGATTCTACCACTTCTTACCATTTCGATTGCTGTGGGGTAACTGGAAAATAAGCGTATATAATTATTATATAATTCGTTTCGTTGTTAAACTAAAAATAGAATATGTCAATTAGACATTTTCATGGATATACACTCCATCGCAAATTATTTAAAACACCCAGTATAAATGATTTTATTTGAATGAAAGTTTCTAGACTTGAGCAAGGCCACGCCAATACCGTATACATTCGTCCAGTCGTCAAGGCATCTTCTAATGAGGTGATTTGAGGTATCTCATCCCAAGCTAGCTGTACTTGGTTCCGGAAGGCTGTTATCGGTGTTGGAGGATAAAGTAAACAGCTCATTTTTCTTCCCCACCCATGTTTAATGGTCGAGAGGTCTCCAGATCTGAGAGGCCAAGGAAAGAAATATGGTTCCAGTATTTGCTGGATATACTTTTGTGCCGTCCTCGAATGGAAATTCGAGGTAACTGACACCATATTTAGTCACACCATAAGCCATACCTGCTTCAGTTTGGTGCACATGACGTTGTTGACATGAAAGACATAATGTAATAATTTTCAGTTTAATGTATCTTTCACTATACTGCAAGAGTTATGGTTTCAGGGGGCACTTTATGTGTTGCTATAACACCTTTCGTTTCCGCTAGAAGCGACAGGGCGGCGTAACGGTATATAATACTAGAATGTCTTCTTTCACCATTTCCCCTTAGGCCCGTATCGTCAGTGATCTCTACAATAATTGTAGGGCGCGTTTATGGCCTCCTTGATTGTCATAGTTTTCTACTTCTCCGTGTCAGAGCTCTATTTTGAGGTTATGTCACAAACATCTATTTGCATCAAATTGTGCTTGCTTTTGAGTTATATCATGTTTTATCAGCCTGAAATTTCCTACAATTTAAAAGGAAAACATATCTTAACAATACCCTACTGAGCGAGGGCCGTGGCAAATGCTTGTTCCGGAAGTTGTTGTATCCAGTATACAACTTCTTCCCGTCCAAGTGATTGTACACGCGTTAAGGAATACCTCAGTACCGATTGCCGGGTGGCGGTACAAGTCCGGCAACGGGCCACTTTAGGTCTATTTAATATCACTAACACGTAAAAAGAAGGTGGTAGACAAGGACCGGTACCATCCGCTAGCTTTTCCCAGGGTGTCTTATAAATGTCTACACCTAAGCTATGCAGTCGGTTATCTTCCAAAACAAAGAAATTAATGATGATGGATCCCTTGAGCACTGAGAACTCCGGACGTAAACTCACTCCACTCTCGGAATTAGTGCTAGCACTACAGTACGCTACCCTCATAAGGATCGAATCAACATTCTTCCTAGGCCTACTAGATTCCCATTATCTCATCCTCCATCTAGGCTAGCAGCTCTTCGAAATACGATGCAGCTTTTCATTCAAATAATATCATTTTGCTGGGTGTTCTATTTTCTTTATCACTGAGTTTATAAACATACAGCAATACTTCAATAAAACCGGGTATATATATACAGTCATACGTACTCATTGTTGTATCTGAAAACTCCCCTAATATCAACTTCTTTGATCAAAGCAGAGGTCAACGGCAGGTTCATTTCAAACTTTCCTAATCCAACCAGAACTACCTTTCCAGCCTTGGCTGTGCTCTGAAAAAAAAAGGGTAAGTAAAAAATTAAAAATAAAAATACTAAAATTGTCTCTCTAAACTAGAGAGTGGTAATTAAATAAGAATGAACAACTGACAAGAAACATTACAACAGTAACACAAATGAAACAAACAAAAAAAAGTAGAAATTTTTTTTTTATTTCAAAGAATTTATATTCCAGTAGTAGATAGTCGAACAATCAATCATAATTACTGACCTAAAAATAAAATTAAGTTATTAACAGAATAATTCAATTCAGAGTAAAAAGCTTGATATATTAAATGTTACAATCATTCTATTGGTAACTATTTATGAGGGAGAGTTATAAAAATGAATTAAAATACACCCCACGCTTTTTACTCTGAATTGAATTATTCTGTTAATAACTTAAATTTTATTATAATTTTATTTTGACTTCATTAATTATGATTGATTGTTCGACCAACTTCTACTGTAATGTAAACGCTTTGCAATCAAAAATTATTTTCTACTTTTTGTTTGGTTAGCTATAAAAACGTGTTTTTTTTTTAGTTTTTTTAAACTAATATTCATCTTTCATTTTTAAGTTTGATTTACCGATTAGTTTTTTGTGGATATGTGGTATTGAAATGTCTTTCGAATCATTTCGTAATCTAATCATTTCATTTAAAGCTTCACTGTGCATGGGGTTTTTCCTGTTAACTTGGAGCAATCAAGTTCTTCAATCCGAATACCGTCTGAACCCGCACAGCGCACGGCGACTGATCAGGAGACCGAAGAGTCTACTACTGCGGCCACCGCTGCTGCCTAGCTCGTCCAACGCAAATGAAGTCTTCGTATCTCAAGAAAGATTGGAAAAAGTTTAGCAAATGTATGTAACCTCTACCCGAGTGGAGAACTGTTTGAAATTCTTGGATTACTGACTCTGACTTCTTTGTATCTATTAGAAATAGCCACTTATACTAAGTGACATATAAATCCGAACACCCAGTTTAAATGGTTTTATTTTAATAAAATTTTGTATAAGTACTTAATGAAGCATAATAAGTAAATGATAAAAATTTCAAAATGATTGCACTGCTTTAAAGCCCTTTGACCTTTAATAATGTGTGGATGCACCCTGATGTGCTACGCATTCTCCAACGCGCCTAGGCATGCTTCTGATCAGGTGGTCAATGTCCTCCTGTGGTATCTCATTCCAGGCAACCACCAACTCCTCTCTAGAGTCTGAGGAGGACGTTGCAAATTGAGCAATCTCATACCCATCATATCCCACACGTGCTCAATTGGGGATAAGTCGGGAGATCTTATGTTGAAAGAAGTCTATTGTGACTCTTGCAACATGTGGTCGGGCATTATCTTGTTGGAAAGTTGGATCTGCCTGGGTGTCAAGATAGGGTAAAAGATGGGGTTCTAGAACTTCGTAGATATAACGCTGCGCGTTCATGTTACCTCTGATGAAGATTACAGGTGACCTGGAACCATAAGCTATAGCACCCCAAACCATAACTCCAACAGTGTGATGAACATGTCTTTCAACAAAAAACTGTGGATTCCTCCTTTTACCACGTCGCCTTCTAACTCTTACACCGACGTAATCGCCTTGAGTGGTGCAGACAACGGTCACTCTGGGATCAGGAATGGAACAGTATTGTCTTTAGTGACTACTCTTGATTTTGTTTAGGCATGCACGATGGTCGTGCCAGGGTTAGAAGGCGACGTGGTGAAAAGAGGAATCCACAGTTTTTTGTTGAAAGACATGTTCATCACACAGTTGGAGTTATGGTTTGGGGTGCTATAGCTTATGGTTCCAGGTCACCTTTAATCTTCATCAGAGGTAACATGAACACGCAGCGTTATATCCACGAAGTTCTAGAACCCCATCTTTTACCCTATCTTGACACCCTGGCAGATCCAACTTTCCAACAAGATAATGCCCGACCACATGTTGCAAGAGTCACAATAGACTTGGCCACCAAGATCTCCCGACTTATCCCCAATAGAGCACGTGTGGGATATGATGGGTAGGAGATTGCTCAATTTGCAACGCCCTCCTCAGACTCTAGAAGCACTTCGAGAGGAGTTGGTGGTTGCCTGGAATGAGATACCACAGGAGGACATTGACCACCTGATCAGAAGCATGCCTAGGCGCGTTGGAGAATGCGTAGCCCATCAGGGTGCATCAACACATTATTAAAGGTCAAAGGGCTTTAAAGCAGTGCAATCATTTTGAAATTTTTATCATTTACTTATTATGCTTCATTAAGTACTTATACAAAATTTTATTAAAATAAAACCATTTAAACTGGGTGTTCGGATTTATATGTCACTTAGTATATGTATTTTCCATTAGGCACACTTTTTTGTAAGCCGTGATACTCACACGCACAAAACCAGGATAAACAGTCGAATGTATTTATCTATTTGTAGCTATAGATGCAGTCAAATTACACCAAATTACTTGTATAAACAAGTTTTCAAGAGACTTCCCGAAAACCTAAGGTCACAGACCTGATGTCCTTTGTACATAATTCAAGAAGGTTTCTGATTGATCAGAGAAGAATTTGAATTTAAATACTTACACGCAAGGCAATCCTGACACATGATTCCACACCGGTACAATCAAAACTGGCGTTGGGCTCTTCTCCCAATAGCGTGACTACCTTCTTGACGATTTCATCTTCACTCAAGTGCTTCTCTATTTTGATCGCATGGTCTGCGCCAAGCTTCTTGGCCATTTCCAGTTTGATGTCCAAAATATCTGCATATGTTAAGAACGTAATTAAGTAAGCTTTATAGTAATTTTTTCACAAGGTTTAAATATTGCCGTTTTCCCACGTATTCGAATACTCAAAAAGTTTTGGTGTAGCTTTCCTCACCTGTGATGCAGATTTTGGAAGCGCCCATAGCCTTAGCTGCCAATAGGGTGACCAATCCGATGGGCCCAGCCCCCAAAATCAGAACAACATCTCCAATTTTGACACCTGCTTTTTTACAAGCATGAACACCGACAGAAAGAGGTTCCATGATCGCACCCTCCTCCAAATTCAAATTGTCGGGTAGCCTAAAAATATAAATTAAATCTTCAAATGAAGTTTTGTGTATGGAAATGTCTTGAAATACTCAATGACAGAGATAATACAGTAGTAATAGAGTAATAATACTATGATTCGATATTCCTCAGCATTGATGTGTTTTAATGTATGTTGTGCTTATGCAAGAATGTCTTACTTGTGGCAGAAATCAGCATCATGGCAGTAGAATCTAGATAGGTTACCATCATCAGGTGGGGTAGCACAGAAGAACAGATCGCCACACAAATGGTAGTTACCAGATTTGCACAGGTGGCACAGTCTGCATGGTACACCAGGTTCGATGGCTACTCTGTCACCTAGAGTAAATTATTTATTACAAAAACTAAATACCGATACATCTAGCACATCTACAAGCACTACATACACTGTCTTTCAGAACTAAGAGATCAAACTTGTAGAGGTTATTCAGTGCAACAGTAGAAAACATTTGAGTATAGTGGACCCACATCCGGAAAAGTCTCCATACAGCACTACGGCCCTAAGACTAAAATTTAGAAAGACGATGAACTGCCTAAATAGGATTTAGTGCATTTAATTTTCGCCTTTTGTACATGATATTATCACAACAATTGTTCAAAATGTCTTCTTCCAACCTGAATACACCGATTTAAACGTCGCACATGATTTTGGCGGACTTGACTAAAAATTTTATACTCGTTTTGAATTATTTCTAATGCTGCTGTAATTCTTCCAATTAAGTCTTGCTCTGTTTCTACTGCAGTTTCGTAAACCAAAGACTTTACATGACCCCACAGGAACGGTGTATTCAGGTTGGAGGAAGACATTTTGAACAATTGTTGTGATGATATCATGTACAAAAGGCAAAAATTAAATGCATTAAATCCTATTTAGGCAATTCATCGTCTTTCTAAATTTTAACGCGTCTTAGGGCCGTAGTGCCGTAGTGACACTTTTCCGGATATGGGTCCCTATACTCAAATGTTTCCTACTGTTGCACTCAATAACCCCTACAAGTTTGATCTCATAGTTCTGAAACACCCTGTATATTTTTACGATAGTCGAGGCGCTTTAGAACCAATTATGCCTGTTCGTTTAATTTATTTCCTAAAGTACTTATTATCGTTTTTAGGTTCTCAGTATTTGTTTCTAATTTTGCAAGCATCTAAAAACTTCCTATTATGGTAACAAAAAATATGTTGTTTTGCTGTATTGCTTAACAATTTTAGACTTGTGTTAGTGTTTTTTGTTTACCGAAAAATATAAATTGTAATCCATGCTGTTATGTAAATGGAAAGATACAGTGTAATGTTAATTTCTTAACCTTGATAAATTATATTTCAACTAATCAAACAATTTGTCAAAGGTTATTTGCAATCGTGTCAAAAGATATCCGATAACATTTATATACGTAAATGTTTTAGTGACCGTAAGGCAGGCATTACACTATAAAACTTCTTTGACAAATATATTTGATAAAAGAAGTTGGAAAAAAATGTGGCACTGTGATAGGAAACTTTTATAAAAGTTCTTTAATCATATTTAGACTCTTCATCCTATATTTGATAAAAGATTTTGCATAGTTGTGTCAAGATGGGGGAAAACAGATGGTGTGTGGCGTACTGAAGGCTAGTGTGATGGGATTTCGTGAATGTGTCATCCTCATCCATTCTCTTATCTTCCACTGCCAGTTCTTGGACCAAGTTATTGTAGATCCTCGGTTTTACCCACAGTCGCTTCTTTTTCGGTGTTAAAGCCACTATTAATGGCTGCCGAAGTAAAACTAGCTATAGCAGCAACGTGAACGTCGTCGCCCATAGCTGTATTTGCACTACCTTCTTAAAATAGTTTATAAAATCTTTTACGTAGTGGCAAACAAATCATTTCTTTTATGTATAACGTTTATAAAAGTAATGTATAAAAGATCTTTGTCAAAGAACTTTTATAGTGTAATGCTGGCCTAAAACCCATAAAAATTACGTAGCTGTTATTCATTAAAATACTTCGTAGTACAAGTAGTTAAGCTTTGAATGTACGTGGTCTGCTGGAAGAAAAGTATTGAACTGCCTGTCAAATCTCTGGATCGCATAGCATAAAAATTGTTTAATTCAAACATTTTTCTGTTAGACAAATAATGCTTCAGATGTTCATGCAAAAGACTGGTTGTAGAGGGGAGATACGATATTTTCCCCACACGTTACCATCAATTCTTCTACTAAATATCCGAATACCCCGAATACTCGACAGCGATGCATTTCATTGAAAAAAAAGGTTTTAAGAAAAGTTTCCGTGTAGCAAGTCGATTTTGGACAGATTCGTGTAGCGCTCGAGATTTTACATCAGAAAAGATTTCCATACATGAGGTCAAGCGGTGATAAGTGACCCAATCAGTATAATCAGCTTTAATGTTTGAAAATTACTTGAACACTAGGAAATCTTGTCAACCATGCATTTTTCTGAAAAAATAAGAAAAGCAATATATCGTTGGCCTCAAATGTATCTAGATAGTGACCGCAGAGGTCATTAGGACAACAAATTTGTAAATCCATACAGCAACCACTATTTTTGACAACAGATTCTTGTTGTGCTCAAATATTATGCTGGTGTTAAAGGTGGTAGTACCTATTTGAACTTATAAACTTGATATTCAAATGGTCTGTGAGGTCAATGTCTAGGCTGTGTTTCAGATTGAAAATAAGTTGTTTTGATATACTGAAAATTTTGTTAGGATCTTTTTGTTTCAAATAATGCTAAGTTTTTGGTGTTTGTGTACTTTTCAGACGTTATAGTCTGATTAAACCATTTATGGCCACTTGATTCCATGTATGAAAATGCATTTTGATTTAGATTCTCAAGCTCTATACGATTTTGCTGGCAAAAACGATAAGTGCTATTTGGATTTTCAAACTTGAACCTAAGTAACCTCTAAGGTCATTATTTAAATTTTATTTGAAGTCATCAGCAAATTATTTTTTTGAAACTCAAAAAATCTCCTTCAAACTTTCTTTCAAGAGGCTACTTGACATGCATGAAAATGAACTCTTGAGAACTCAAAACCTACACAAATATACTGTCAAAAATGGTGATCTAACATAAATCATACTTGGGATCATCCACAAATTGACCTCTTGATATGCAGAAACCTTTTTCAAAGAAATACATGATTAATAAGCACTCGCAGTTCTAGGATATTTAATATTTAATTGAAACCATTATCTTGGACTGTAATAGAAACTCTCAGTAATGATTTGCAGACGGCTTATATGAATGTTCCTCTATGTACCTGGTTTTAGGTTTTTGACATTCTTTCCGCACTTTACGACTGTTCCTGATGCTTCGTGACCTGTAACAAAAATTATCGTTATTTGGTGAACCATATATCACAGTCAGTGAGTTAGGAACTAATACCAGTTATTGCGATTGTTACGTAAAGTGAGATTAGTGTTGAATAAAACTTCCAATTTGAGCTCAGTAACATATTATCATTATCTTCCTCCATAAATCAATCCAAATGCGCGTCATAAAAGATATATTATAACTACACTGATAACTAATGGTGGTGCCATTTTGATTAATTGTTTCACGAAATTCGTATTTATAGAACTAAATAGAAAATCCATAATATCTACCAGAAGATTCAGATTATTGAAAATAATTTTTCAATGCAGATTTCTTCAATCTGTCGCAGTATAGGGTCAGTTAAGTCACTATGGCTGATATTTGTTAGGCGAGTATATTTTACACGGACACATGGCAGGATTTGTTCTCAGCACACGGAGCACCAATTTAACCAGACCTGACGACGCGCTTGCTTAATTTTTTGAATGTTTTCGGTGTTACTGATTGTTTTTTGACGTAGTGCAAAAGTTCATGAGGGCCAACACCTAAAAGATGCGAAAATATGTTATTTGACATTTTTCGAATTTCTGGTTCATAGTAGAAATACAGGTTGTTCAAACAACTTTCAAACCAGACATGCATTCTATGGTTTGCATATATCGCCAACAGCGCTTAGAATGGCTTCTATTCTTTTAACAGTGCAAGCAATCCCCTACTATCAGATACGACTAATGATATGATGTTGCCTTGCTACGAACTGCTCTGATCGGGTCTAACCATAGGAAAATCATTTTTCGATAGGTCCGATCCTGCACGAAGTTCGCGTCGATTTACCGCTGCTTGATCACTTATGTGTCGGAGGCCGAAAACTGTACTGGGAATTTTGCCTCAATGTAGCTTCTGATACCTATTCTGTGACTGTGTCAGTGCAATGACACCTGGAGTTAATAAATTGACTTTTAACAAATGAAATCATAGTACTTACCTATAATCATTGGTTTTTCGACAATGAAAGGTCCAATTCTGCCATTTACCAAATAGTGCACGTCTGATCCGCAGATTCCCACTACTTCCATTTGGAGAAGCACCTCTGGAAAAACAGTTGAGTCAATAGAGCTTCTATAATATTTGTTCAAAATTGAAATAAGAATAGTGGCAAATACAGTTTTAATTAAGGCGGCTAGACTGATGCAGCCAATAGCTCATTTCTTGCGCCTCGTATAAAAAAATGTTTAGACAAGAATATCTCGAAAATTATATAAGCGTTAATTCTGGTGATGCAAAGATTCGTAGTAGAAGGGATACTCCCAATAACACCACACTTAAATTATCAATGTCTCAATAAAACTCTAAAATCTGTGTCTGAATCTGCCAATTTGCAATTGCACGTTTTTGGTAATTATTATACTCTTCATAAATATTCAACCTAATATGTTAATAAAACTCTACTGTCATATTATCGATCGTTGTTATATCCTCTCAATGATAACAAGATGCAATGTATATTTGCAAATATAATTATACCATTTGCTATTTATAGGAAATAAAATAACATTGAAGTTGTTGAATATGTATTTGAAAATTCCTTATTACAGATTCTTCGGACATTCTCATGATAATTTATCGCAAATACGATTAAAACAAATGGAAAAAATCAATACAGGTTGAAATCAAGAAAATTTAATCAGTAACGATATATTATTTCCTTTGAAAATATATCAAGCTTCAACCATTGTTGAGGTAATCCCACAGTTTTAGAAATGCAAAAAAAGAAAGATATATATATATATATATATATATATATATATATATAATTATTATATATACTGTAGTAGAGTTTGATATAGATGAATAATAAATGCACCACTTACGATTATCTTTCGGCACTGGGATTGGACGTTGTTCCTAAAACCAATAAAACATATTGCATTTATTCATGGTACTGAACAAGACGTTCCTTTGAACAAATTCTTACTTTAAAGAATGGCAAATACTTAAAATATAAGATTTTAGCAAGAGCTTATAGTTAGTAATTATTACAATTAGCACAAAAAATCTATCAAAAATTGTATTTTTATGGATTATTGGAAATATCCGATGTCTTTTAGCATATATGAACATGGTTGACAAAATTAGTAGACTTTTAATTTTTTTTCTTATTCGGGATGTTGAAGACATGATGATATCAAATATAATAATAATAATAATAAATAATAGTACTGAAGTAGCATTGCGTCAAAAGGTGGTAGAGTAGAGCTTTAAATGATACACTCAAAAATTTTAAGTTTCAATCTAAAATGATATTTTCTTCTAATGGTAAAAATTTCGGTATTGTAATCGCAAAAATTTCGAATATGAGATATTACATTTTATGGATATTATATGATAAGTCTCTTATTTCCGGCTGTCTGTCGATCTGTCTGTCTGATAGTCCTTGGACCGCCTATAGCTTGAAATGTCAAGGAAGAAAAAATATTTTGAATCGGTGGAGAAAGAGTTCAAAATCGAAGAAAATAGAAATCGATCAAGCTTCTTTTTTCAGGTTAAAGTGGGTCTTGACCATCTTTGAAAAAATTTTCAGGTATAAAAAATTGAGGGAAGGGGGTTGTAGTGGGTGGGGAGGATATATCTTTATATTTTCTATATATTTAATATTATGCTTTGTTTATGTTATGTCAAGAGGTTAGAGAGACGCAAGGAAGAGAGCCTGGAATAACGCAGAACAATGAGTATCGCGCCCTAACGCTGAAAAGATGATTACAAATTTCGCGACTATTTAATGTTCTTATTTCCTACAACTTGAATTATTAGCGTATTTTTTGGTTTATAACAATTAGTATATTAATACACTTTCAACCCCGGTTATTCTGCACACATATTAGACTTATTTCAAGCCTCGTTGATTTTCCTGTACATTTGCCCTTAAAACTTAGAGAAATATTTTCAGCAGTTCGCCTATCGGTCGCATATGATGTGCGCCACGTGGTTATTTATAAATATTGCCTGTTTGGTATTCGATGAGAAAGTTAGAGTAAAGGTAGGTTCTATAATAGCTAGCAACGCCGTGAAATACGAGGAGGACGCAATATTATCAATATATGTATATGAGCGCTATGCTTGGAGTGATAGTCAATGAGATTATTTGATTTCGTGACGTAATATTATATAGTATTCTATATGATTATGCATCAAGACCTATTAAAATCAGTTATCAAACATTGTTGACAGGCATTTTTAAGTACACCACAGTTCCAAAGAAATGAGACACGCTTATTGCTGCAATCTGAGGAGTTTTTTTTTTAGTGTGAAAAACCCATTACTGGTTCTGATCTCATTGCACTACATGGTAAATAGCACCAGAAGCTGTAGGAAGTATAGAGTAAATCTGCTTGTCGGCATTTTTTTCAAGTGAAAATGGTCTAAAGTTAGATGATGTTCCCAAAGTGAATATTTTTCATGTATCTCATTTCATTCCGCTATCAGCTCAAACACTATCTATATCAATAAAAATCGGTCCAATCAGTAATCATATTTATGCATTAGTATATATAGTTAGTTTAGTCATTGTAATAGCTAATGTATTTAAGTGTGTAGATGTGCGGTGTTATCCATTAAGTCGAGATAGCCTAAATAATCTGCAAACATTCCAACCTAAACAAAAGTTTGTATCTTTCGTTACACTGTAGAGTACAGGACTTATTTTTGACTTCAGAATTAAAAACCCTATTTACCTGTGTCCAGAAGGAAAAATAAGGTTCTTTGGGGACAAGATACGAAATATGATATTTCGTTTCTAATTATGTCACCTTGTAGAAAAGAAAAAGTGGCAGCGTTAATGTGCAATTTATCTTGAAACCCCACCTCAAGTAAATTCAGACAAAAATAAAAACGATTTTGGGAAAATTCTGTTTTTCCTAACTTCAAACATCCTCTGGATTGCGAATCATTCTGTGTGTTTTTAGTTAGCTAAATGCGCAAGATTGCCTCTATTTAACCGACCTCATACCTCTTACCGTATGTTTGAAAAGCTTGTCGAAATATTTCAACACGGTACTATTTTTTGGGATTCTCAACTCAGTATTGAACCTTTTCATAAACCGCAATTTTTAATCTGTTTCAAGTGGTAATTCCGGATTCGAGGTTTTTCCTTTGAATTTTAAGGGTTTGAAACAGCTGTTAAATGGAAAATGATGACAAAGATGCTCTGATATTGAGTAGATATTCTTGAATTTGATAGTATCACTCATGTAAAACTTTCGCTTTTCTTTATTCCACATAAAGCCGTATCCCTCGCCGTGAGTCATGAAAGTCACTGCTATCGTAATTAATGAGAAAGGATTTTCTATTCGCGGATCTTACTCGAAATACGTTTTTGAAAACGAATTCATGAAAAGGATTTTTCCATCATACATCATTTTATGACTTACATAGATGTGTTGCAGCCTACGTAAGGACCATATATACAGAAAAAAAGAGAATGGAATAACATCAATATAACAACCTTTGTAGTACCGGTAGCGGCCGATTTTCGCTATTGGCGAAATTCATATATCGGTGGATCTCCAAATAGTATGTAAGATTTTTGGAGAAGTTGAAAATAAAGATGAAAACTGGCCATGTATTTTGGATCCCAATATATTTTTCGATAGTAGCACCGCTATTCTGTCAGAATTCTTCAGTCAAATGTCAATTAACAAATACTCACCAATCTCATATCGTTGATACCGTAAAGTACGGCAGTAAGGTTATCCTGAGGAGCCATGTTTTTTTGTTTTCGCCTTGAAAAGAACCAGCAACAGACACTCAACAACTAAAAGTGAGTTCTCTAGACCACATGCTGTTTTATTTATCTCAGTTTGGATAATATTCCTGAGGAACCATTGGCGTAGGTATAGTGGGACATAATGAGGAACTTATACTATGTTTCTTCTCGTCTTGTGGATGAGGCAACAGAAAATTACCCTAAGGTCTCAATAAAAATTGTATCACTCATACACATTTTAGTTTAGGTTATAGAAATAGTATTGCAGTCTAATGAAAAGTTCCGGATCCTGCAGTAGGTAACTAGAAAGCTTTTAAAGAACTTTTTGATTCATTCTAACCAGTGGCGACGCGTGACTTTTCCTAAACTGTTACCAAAACCAGATGAGAAAAATCTTATTAAAAAAGGTTTATTTTGACCCTCTCATGTAAAAGTTTTTGCTTATTCTAGGTATAGTATTTAAACTTTTTTTAAATTAAGGTAAACATTGCTGGGCTGGGCGTCTGCGGCACTTGATATACCTCATCGTCTTATGCTATGACTAATCCAAGCCTTCCCTAAAACAGTAGATGTTTCTAGATGTTCGGACAATTTTTTATCTTTTTTGGCAATTAATGTTAACAATTCCCAGTAATTTCATCTATTGTCAGAGTCATCTCCTACAAAATGACCCCGAAATGGTAATTCTTGTTTGGCCAAAAAACATACAGCATCTATAAGTGTGCTGCCTAAAATCTTGGTTAAGACAACTTTCGATTCTTGTTTTGCCAAACTGAATCAAATTGGCTACATATCTCACATGTAAAGGAGAAATTTCATGTCTCCTCTTCAGAACCCAACCAAGAGTTTTCAATAAACCAACTAAATTTAAAATATCGAACAACTTTTTTTATTCCTTTTTAAAATTATCTAAAATAACTTGGTATTCCATTTTCAATGATCTCCTTTATTTCTTCAAAATTATACAAGGAGCCGGTACCGACTTTCCCCGACAGACTATCAAGTGTATCCATAAACCAAAATGGTAACAACCAACTCGAGGCGAGTCGGCTTCATCGCGTTCGCAAAATCTAGACAGTATTATGGGGCGCATTATTTTCGTGGGGCTAATCTGCTATTTACTGAATTACTAGTACGTATTGCTGGATAAACAAATGAATGAAAGTATTTCACAGTAGTCAGAAATTATTTATTTTCAGGATTTTTAACTGTTACCAATGGTAACAATGGTTACATGGACGCTTCGCCACTGATTTTAACACCTGAAACTTTTCCTGTCGTTTTCATGCTGTTAATCCTCCATGTTTGTCTGGCTGGCTAATATAAATAGCAGAACGACTCAATGTTACTTGGTGAGGATATCTGAAGACTGTTACCGGCCCGAATGTTGTCTGATTTGTAAAATTTGACAAATCGGTTCCATCAAGCCAGTGTTGTCATTTATACTACATATGATAACCAGCTGAGTAGTACTGGTGGTATATGCTATGTATGACATTTGACGGGTAATTTTATATTCACTAGTAGGTATTAACTCAAATATACCTAAAATATAAAATGATTGATTCCATTCGAAAAAGACACAAAGGCGTAAGAGATATTCAATGAATATTAACGAAAGTCGATGTAAAATTAATTACGGATTCTTATACATCAGGTTGGAGGGCACAAACAAGTACAATAAATACAATTAAGACTTCGATACTAGTTTTTCAATTATCAGCTATTTCGTCACTAAAAACACGCAGAGCTTCAACAATCTGCTAGTCCATTATTCTTGAATATGGAGCTATAATTTTTTTACAAAAAGCTTTTGGACCCTGAATCAATTTTTCTAGCAAATGTTTATATCGAGTTCAAATGCGTAATCATATATTCTTACATTGACATAATAAATATTTTGGATGACAACAAACTGCTTTTCATTATGCCAAACCAAAGACTTATATGCTATCTTTGATATTTATGCAAAAGCAACAACTCCAAGAACTTTCTATGCTACGCTTATGGTGTTTTGAGCTTAATGTACCTTTTGATAACAACAGTTTATTAGAGTTTATCGCTGAGCCATTAAAGTTCACAACTATCCATAAGATCGTAATATTCGCATATAATGGTGTTTTGTTTGAATTGTATATCCTAATGTGGAAATATTCTATGTGTTATCATAATGATACGATTTTTTATTACTTTATGTAATATGCATAGTATAGTTCTACCCATAGCTTCGATATTTTGAGGCTTACATGTGAATCTTTTAAAAATCCATTCACATAAATGGTTTTTCGATTGTACGTTTATTTAAACAACGTTTACCACGTTTACCTGTTTAAACGGTTAACACATTGAATACCAGCCTAAGAAGCTTCAGGATATATTCATTTTATTTCTTTCGATGCGTTCCCCGCCAGTAAAACTTAATATTATTTAACACAGAACTCATGAGATAGCTCTCGTTTAGGTGGCATCTTGAGCGGCGAGGGGTCGCCTTGCAGAGTCGACGTTTACGCAACCAGTTAGTCGGCCATGAGTGAGCGCTATCTAATGCTTATGCCGACATTCAATAATATTCGAGACCCGTCTGGAGGGATCTGCTGTCATCTAGACTACCCGGCAGTTCCCGGAAACGCTGAAATGTTTCTCGATTCGTTCTTAGGATAATAAATTTCCGACCAGATGGCGGAACGAGTTAGTCACAGTCGAGCCAGCGAACAGAGAACGCGGAATTAAGATGGAATAATAAATAATCGAGTCAACATAGTTATGAATTAGATTCAGTTGTTATAGGTTAGTGTAGCAGTAGTAAATTAAACTTTGAGCCGAAAAACGGTGTTTTCGTTACAGTAACAAGTTGAAAGAAGGCATGTAGACGTCGATGGTCAATGTATTAATCGCTAAATTGTCTGATCGTTTAATCGGGTAAACGATTAATTTTTTGAACCTTTTCTGCTATTAAATGTTTACACGTCTTTGAATATTGAACATTAAAAACAGCATTTTTCAACGTATCATTCAAAGTTATGGGTTATGTGAAAGGTCTATTAATAAAATATTTATTTAGGCAATCGTGCATTGCCTGTCGCTGTCGGTAACTTCATCTAGAATATTTTTTCTGTAGAAAATGCTGGGTTAATGAAATTGGAAATATACTATGGTTTACCATATCTCCCATGCATATACAGGGAGGCATTTATCTTAAGTCAACAGAACATGTTGACCTTGAGTTTTAAGGTCATTTGAAGGACTTCAAGCTATTAAGTAGAATATTTCCTTGTTGTTCTGTGGAGTAAGGATAAATGTAGTACAGTATTATGACATGAACATGTTAATCCTGCTCCACAGAACATACTAAAATATAGGTGATGTAGAAAAATAGAGTTATCTTGTTTTTACAGTGAAGAGACGATACGCTCTATTGTGGAGCTGGAAGCCGTTTAAGCTATAGTCTGTGAAATAGGAATTACAGGGCTGAAATCATTTATTAAAATCCACCATTTTGTTTTTTATAAAATTTCACCGCTAAGACGAATCTAACGACACCTCATATGTGAAAATCTATCAAGCCATTTGATCTGTAGCCTATGAAGTAGGAATTACAAGGTTGAAATCTTTTATTAAAATCCACCATTTTGTTTTCTATAAAATTTCAATGTAGCTAGTGTCACTCGCACCGCTAATCCGAATCCAACGACACCTCATATGTGAAAATCTATCAAGCCGTTTGATCTGTAGCCTATGAAGTAGGAATTACAAGGTTGAAATCTTTTATTAAAATCCACCATTTTTTTTTTTTATAAAATTTCAATGTAGCCTAGTGTCACTCGCACCGCTAAGACAAATCCAACGACACCTCATATGTGAAAATCCGTCCAGCCGTTTGGCCTGTACGTGAAAATATGCACGTTATCCATACCAACCCAAATGATAATCACTCTCCGCGTGACGTCATGCGCGCCGGCGGACGAAAATCGAACAGCGGAGCATACGGCCCTGCTATGATTCTAATAGAGTGAGCACACACGTATTTGGGGAATCCCTGAAGATGCGTTCCGGTTTCGAACATGGGCAAGCAGGGCTGCCCTAAGCGTTCAAATCAAAATTGACTAAATTTTGTAGAAAATCCGAAAAAGTAAAAAATAAATATTGCTCGCGTAATCACAATCCAGGCTCCCATTCTTCATGTCATCAAAAAAAGCAAAGCGAAGCCCTACCCGTCCCCCCTCCTTTAGTGCTCACGTAATAGTTTTTCTTGGCAAAGTATTTTTGTTTTCTTACATTTACACCCTTATACTAAGAGCCTTTCTGATAAGTTCATCCTAGGTATTGCACGAGGACATCCTAATAGCTAGCGGCGGACCTGGCCTATATTCATGATTGTACTCGTACTAAGGTGTTTTAGGCATTCACTTTGAATGTCATATGGCTGATCATTAGCTTGACTGATTAGGCATATACGTTGATGTTGCTCACACATAATGTTGACGTATAAAAAATTACATAAGGGGTGGAGTGGTAACGGTGTTAATGGCAAAGAGAATGACATCAAAGAAAAATAGACGATGCGCATATATAAGGTTCTGTCCATTTACTTGGCTCGATTAGTTTGACAATACTATCTGTTAAAACCAACATTGCAAACATGATCTTTGTTTTCGTACGTTTAAGTGTAATTCTACAATTTGCTTCATTGACAAGAGCAAATATTAAGATGATGGAGAAACGCATTTATGACTCTGGAAACGTTCCTTCTTCTCTAAGTAAGTGTATCACTGAAAATATGGACATGTTTAGATTGAAGAGAGACATTTTGTATTCAACCATTATGGATGAGCGCGCTTTTTATATGGATGACTTGCTCCTAAAAGAATTAGAAGTCAACAGGTGGCGTAAAGTACTGTTAACAAGTAATCGCACAATTAATACAATACTTAGATACAAAGTTCCTGTTCTGCCAAAGAACACGATAATACATATAAATAGCATTGAAGACTTGGAAAGAAAAATCAGACATTTACCGCGACACAAGTTTGAGAAAAAAATTGTGAAGTTCATTGTTATATATACAGAAGTTGACTCTAACATAGAAAAAATGATATATAGAATTTTTCACACCATGCTGCAGAATCAATTAATTTACACAATGGTCGTTACACCTGAACCAAAAAATCATACAACCTTCAACATACATTGGTGGTCATTCAAGAAAAATACGTTTTGCAACCACAGCTCGATAAATATATTCAAAATCAACAGCTGCAGTTTTGGACGGCTGAATATTGATGCAAATCGAACAAAACTATCATTATCAAAATACATGGAAGGTTGTAAAGTGATAGTAAGTTATTTCGAGAAA